GGAAATATACAATCAAAGCCAAAAACACATGGGCAGTTCCAGTAATTAGATACCCAGCTGGAATAATAGATTGGACTCAAAACTAATTAGAAGAATTGGATTGAAAAACATGGAAACTAGTGAACATGCATCACACACTACACCCAAAAAGCGATGTAGAGAGATTATATTTACCATGAAAAATCAGTGGCATTAATTATTGCAAATATAGTAGGTAGTAGAGGAAGAAAAAACAAGCCTAAATGATTGTATCAGAAGAGAAAAATTACTGAAAGCAGTGAAAATGGAGAATATTTTGAAAATAACAGAAACAAAGGCTCAATATAAGAAACAACAATTTGAAAAAAAAATTAAACAGCTGGAAAAATAAACCACTACATGGACAACACCTGAGAAATATTGATGGAAAGCATGATCATAATTCAACATGGGCATGGCTAAAACTGTTGACCCTTAAGAAAGAAACTGAAGGCTTGATTTTTGCTGCAGAAAAGCAAGCACTCCAACCAACATAATGAAAGCTAAGATCCAAGGAATTTGTGCTAACAGCAAATGTTTACGCTGCTGAAAAAAGGATGAAATTCTGTTACACCTCACCTGTGAATGTCCAAAGAGTGCACAAAATTCTAAAACTCAACAAAGCTTGGCTCCCAGTACTGAAAAATAAAGCCTGCAAAAGGTCAATGGACTGTGGCCAGCCACCAGGACCAGTGATCACTACACACAAAAGACCAGCTAACGACACCCTTCAATCACAGTGACAGATCATCTTTCCCCCTACAACAATACACCTACAACAAAAAACATCAGGTAGAGAAGGTGCCAGAAAATGAGGAAGTCAAAATCTTGTGGGATTTCTAGATCCAAATGGACAGAAACTTTGAACATAACACACGTAAGTACAGAGATCTGGCAATCAAAATATATCACCTCTGGAAGAAACACACTTCAGTAGTCCTCATTGTAATTGGGGCTTTGGTAACAATTATCAAGAAATTTCACCTAGTACTATAAGCAGTTGTAGATCTCAGAAATCACAGCATCAGAGCTACAAAAAATGGCAATATTAGGAACAGCACACATATTGCACTGATATTTAACAGATCCTTGGTGGTTGGTTAAAACTTGTATCTGTTATATAATACCAGTCAATGTTTTTATAATTTTGACTGTGCCTGGTGTTTTCTGGTGTTTTTGAATAAACATGCTTTTTAAATGTGAAAAGTGGCAAACAGTTGGGGCGAGAATAATTTTTTGAAACATTTTAAGTATACACTGGTATTTTTTGAGCTGATAATGAGCTGGCCAGGAAAGGGCTATTAATAAATATGGCATGTACACCCAATTCATCAATGAAAGAGATGTGTTCCATGTTGGGATTCATTAGGAAAAGGCTGAACTATAAGCCTGCCAATAGTGGCAACCACAATAGTATGTGTAGTTCTAGAGAATTCTAATGGTGTCCTAAACTATGTGTGTGTTTTGTTTTGTTTTGTTTGTTTTGTAATGTATTTTGAAGGAGATTTGTAATTGGTTGCCAGAATTTGTTGAGGGACATCA